TTTTTAAAAATCCTTTGACATTTGTTTCCTTTTAAAAATTCTTTGGCATTCTTTTCCTCCTTCTCCCCCCATTTCTTTGCCCATCAAATCCAGGACCCAGGCCCAGTGAGCCATACTCCATCCTTGTTTGTTTTGTGTTTTTATAGTGAATTAATATGTTTATAAGTGTATAATTTCATTTTAACTTGTAAATGTTACATCATTTTAAGTACAAAATTCAAAAATTTTTCTTTCACAGGCAACTACACCACCAAATCAAGGAAGGCCAGATTCTCCTGTGTATGCCAACCTACAGGAACTGAAAATATCCCAGTCTGCTCTCCCCCCACTTCCTGGGAGTCCAGCAATTCAGATTAATGGAGAATGGGAAACTCATAAAGATAGTTCAGGGCGTTGTTACTACTATAACCGAGGAACACAGGAAAGAACTTGGAAACCACCACGATGGACCCGGGATACAAGCATAAGCAAAGATTTCCACAGTCAAGGAGATCAAGAGGTATGAATTACTAAGAAATCTACCTTTTCCAATTTTCATTATTCAGAAATAAAATAACTGAGTATCTTTTTTTGGTATCAACATGCTGAAACACTTGACTCTGAGAATACTGTACTAAAAATTCTTTCCATGTTTTATTATATGAATGCTAGTTACCACTTAATTTCTAGTGGACAGGAGCTAACTTTGTAGTATGACTGCTGGTTCCTAAACTGGATCAAAGCCTAATGCTTGTGCTTTCCTTTATGAATTAAAAGACACTAACTTTATACGTAAACCAATGTCATTTCTAAAAAGTACGTATTTTGTGATTCATCCAAATAATAGAAACCCTGTCCTCCATTGGTTTAGTATGGCTATCAGGCACCTCAATTTTATCTCTTAGTTGTACAAGATCACATTTTATTTGTATGTAAAGGAAATCATGATGATTCTTTTGTTTTAATAAAGGAATCATTCTTTAAATTGGATAATTCACTCTGAAATATTTTTTGTCTAACAAGTGTTTACACTCTTTTCTCCCTTTTTAGCTTTACCTTCTCTTATGCCTCTTGCAGGGCAGTGTAGAGAACTGACACATTGTACTTTGAAAAATACTTACTTTGTGGTCTGATGAATTGCCTTGGGACTGTTGAGATATTTGTAGGGGAAGGGAGAGGGAGGGACAGGAGTGGTAGAATGGAGTGGCATTTTGCTGTTTCATAGCCTGGAGCCTTTGCACCTGTCAGGGAATCCTGCTCTTACATGAGGCAGCTGGCATGTACAAAGTCAGAGCTCCAGGAGGGTAGAAGCTGGTGAAATCAGGTAACTTCCTGCTTTTAGAAGAATCTAAATGCTTTTTGTAGTTAATAGTTGCCCTTCTTGTCCTGTTTTCCACTTGGCTATTTACAGCTTTGGTTTGGTGTTAACTTATGTTTTTATTTTAATGCTTAAAGAAAGAAAATGTTCATGCTTAATTCAAGTAAGCAAGTTTAGACATCTTTATTTGATTGTAGATCTAGGAAGATTTGAAAACTAACTGTCCAGGTAAAATCTTATAATTTGGGAGGATGAAGGAAAATGCAGAACAATACACAGATAAAAAATTTAAAAGTGATACAGAAATCTTTAGCATACATGTTTCGTAGCATTCTTATTTTCAGTAAATAGATGAATGTTTTGTCTATCACAGTCTCAGCTTTTATTTCTATGTCTATAAATTTTTTCCATAGTTTTATTGAGAAACAAATAGCAGTGAGACAGTTTCAAACCAAATTGGTAGAACAGTTTCAATAATTAACATATTGCATATATTCTTCCTAGTGGTTAATTGATGTACAAGATGCAGACATGATATCCTATTTACAAACACTATTAGAACAAATCCCTTTATTCGTAAAGAGAATGCACCTATATATCTGTCCTAACCATTTTGAATACACAGATACAAAATGAACATTCATTTGTATCCCCTTTTATTGGTAAGTTCCGTTATTTGAATATTATAGGTGTGTTAACTTGGCAAAATATTCTAAAAGAGTCCAGTAGTTCATAATAGTATTGGGTCTTCCGCTTGACTGGCAATGTCAGAAATTGTTGACCTGAGTCCCCTACAGCTCAACATAACAGCATGGCTTTACTTCTTATACTTCGTTTTTATACTTTTCTGCTGGATGGTTAAGACCAAGGTAAAGCAGGACCTATGCAACAAGAGTTGTAGCTTTTGGGTCTGATAAAGTCAGTGAAATAAATCCCCTATAAATTTATAAAAATAATTACTTCCAAGTGACTGCAGCTTATGTTCCTTGCGTGTGGGAGATCAAATAGAGAATGTGTATACATGTGTGAAATTGTTATTTTTTGCCTTTATATTTAATGTATTTTAAGTATGGGTATAAGATTCTAGGTTGGAAATAATCTCTGTTACAAGGCATTTTGAACTTGACTGGGAATCTAGGTGCTTGCTCAGAACATTTCAGCCTTCTCAGGTGGATTAATCACAATGTCCATCAAAGTCTTTAGCTCTTCTGGAAGGTAAAGTGTGCCAGGATTTGGTGTCATCTTCATTTTGTAGATGGTCCCCTGGTCTATCCTCTCTCTGGTATGAATGTTCCAGTTGTGTTGTCTCTGAGCTGAAGATCTTACTGTTTTTTCCTCTTTAGAGGGAATAAGTGCCCATACCTGCTGGGGTATGGTTTATATGCCTAGTGGCCAGGCATAAAGTGTTTTTGCAATTTCCCTACCTTCATCTCCCAGTTCCAGAGATACCTAATGCTGTCAATTCCTGAGCCATTTGCAGATTTTGCTCTGCAGACGTGTTTTATCTGTCCTCAGTCCCCTTACTCTGCCAGTTTAGATTTTCCTTTCTTCTGCATGGATAGTTGAGATTTTTGTTCATCTGCTGAACTGTTGTCTCTTTTTCCTTGTGAGTTTACATCTTTTTAGCAAATTTCATTCATTATTATTTGAGTTACTACTCTAGAGCACTGGTTCTTACCTTCCAAGGACATTTGACAGAGTTTGGAGACTTTCTGATCATCAGAAGGAGGAGTATACTACTGGCATGTAGAGGCTAGAGAAGCTGCTGAATGGCCAGCAACACGTGTCAGTTCTCCTCAGTGAGGGATTATGTAGCCCTAAATTTTAATAGTGCTGTGTCATTTGAACATGGCTGTTAATCAAAGTCTGTTAGTTCCATCTTGCACCTTAAAACTGCGAGAACTGTATATGTTTTTGCTGTTACATGTTTGTATTTTACCTCCTTTGTTGTCATTAACTTCATTTTTTTTTCATATTTTCTTCTGTCTTAAGTATATGTATATGTATATGTATATGTATATGTGTATGTGTATGTGTATGTGTATGTATATGTATATGTATATATTTGGCTCCGAATGCCCTCAGGGGCAGGTTTGGCTGGCTTGAGTTGTGGGGATCGAACCACAGCAACCAGAGCCTGACTGCTTTGTTGAAGCAGCCAATTAAAGAACTGAGCTAAGGGGCAGGCCCCCGAGCATATACTTCTAAATCTATGAGTCTTCATGATAGAATATTTTGCCTGGAGATTCGTTTTGCTTGTATTTTTGAAGAATATTTTAATAAATCTATAGTTCCCAGTTAACTGTTCATTGTTTTTTCCTAATTCAGTAAAGATTTTATTCTGTTTTCTGGCTTTCATTATTGATGCTGAAAATCCAGCTGTCAATCTTATTATATTTTCATTAAGAGTTGTTTGTATTTTATTAGTAATAGCCGTTATAGTCTTGTATATAATTTCACTCTAATGCAACTGCGTGAAAATGTTTTTTATCCCTGCTAGGTGGGTATTGTTTAGTACCTTGGAAGTTGAGGAGTCTTATCTTTATTAGTTCTGCCATATTCTTAGGCATTTTCTGTCTGTGCCCCAACTTATTGTGGAACTTTGGTTAGATGAATATTTAATAATTCACTCCATGTCTTTCTGTGCTTCATTCTCATACCCACTTCTGATAACATTTTTTTCCTCTTTACTTCTTTTTTGTACTGGGGATTGAACTGAGGACCTTGCACTTGCCAGGCAGGTGCTTATGCCACTGAGCTATCTCCCTGGCTCTCTTTACCTCTTTTTTTTTTTTTTTGCGGAAACGGGGATTAAACTCAGATCCTTGTGTTTGCCAGTCAAGCGCTTATCCTACTGAGCCATCTCCCCGGCCCTTCTTTACCTCTTTTTAAGGATTTTTTTTTCATTAAAAAAATTTAGTTTTATTAGTATATTTGCAATAAGCCAGTACTTAAACATTTTTAAACCTATCCTTAAACATTTACATTGTTATTTTTACTTTCACTTTATTTTTTCAAGCCACCTGGGTGGTAGTAATTTATATGAAGACAGTTTTATGGTTTAAGAGTCCCCTTTTGAGTTCCAGTTATTGGGGTAGATATCTGTGATTTCCCTAGTGTGGCATAAAGGGCCTCGTGGGTATAATTCTTGGAACTGACCCCCCAGCCCCAAATTGTGGGGTATCCTTTTAGGTTTCTGACTCTAGTATTGTGAGTATCACTCCCTAGTACTTCTTCATGGCCTTGAGAGCTAATGTTTGGTTTGGGGTTGGGCAGATACCTTCGAGGAGAAAACTGATCATTTTATTCTACTTAACTCTCATAATTCTTGCTTCTACTTAGTGTTTGACCTCGAGTATTTCTTCAATGAACTCCTGCTTGCTGGTGTTTTTTTTTTTAAATGCAGTATTTTCAGTTGGCTTTATCCAGGCGTTCATTTGCAGTACAGAGCATGTGTGATAGTTGCTTCATATTTCTCCTAGGGCATATGTGCTGCAGAGTACACCAGTTACTGTATCAATTCCCTGAAGGAGTGAAGATACTTAGTATAGAAAAATTAACGTTTGGAGAGTACATCCCCAAATACTTTTTATTTGTATTTAACTGTCACTAAACAGCTCCTTTCCAGCAGCAGGTACCAAGATGTTACAGTCCATTTTTGTTCTGTAAAACACACCAAGATATAGGAGCTTACTCTTCATGGCAGAAAAGAATTCATGGTATAAGAATTGGAAAATTATGATGAGTACTTTGCCAACTAGAAAGTTATATTTAGGAAATAACTAATTTAGTGACTTTTACTATTCCTTAATTTTGCTATTAGATTAATTTTCAGTTTCTAAACAATTTTATTATATTCCTCCATAACCTTACATTTTACGTTGTCTTAAATAGATTTCTGATTTTTGAATTAGGTTTTCCGTGTTTTGAAAATGGTGTTGCAAAACATGCATTAGTTGTCTGCGTCAGTTTTTGTGTGCTACTGTTAGGCTGTGTGTATTTTTTTACAGCTTTGAGAAATGTTCTAGTGTTTTGTGCCAAAGTATGATTGTAGAAAATATCTGCTTGAATGAACTTTAATTGCAGAAACTATTTAGAGGTGTTAGAAAAGGATCATTGCACCAGAGTGTTTAATAAATAAGTTGAAGTGTGGTAAGAAGATTGCTGCTTGGTCACATTATGTCTTTTGATTGTTAATATGCATCAGAAATTGTTTTCACAGTCTTTAATTTGCTTTTCTTTTGTGTTTCGAGTTTTTTTCTTCAAAAAATGTCATTTTTTTCATTTTTTATTTTTCACTTTTTAAAGATAAGATCTTGCTGTTCTCCTGCCTCATCTTCCAAAGTTCTGGTATTACTGGCGTGCATCACCACACTTGTCCTGTGTTTGTAGTTTCATGTATACCTGTACTGTTTCTGTACTGAATTTCTGATCATTCTGTATCATATCTGAATTTTCTTAACACTATTCTTGTTTGGAAGTTTAGTTTTTAATAGTCTTTTATAAGCATTTGGTTGAGTGAATGAGGTAACTTTTACCAATTAAAACACAAAATATAGTGTAATAAAGCTAATGTCTATTTCCCATCTCCCTTGTCCTTGTCCTTTTTTTTTTTTTTTTTTTGAGAGAGGGTCTCACTGTGCAGTTCAGGTTGGCCTTGAGCTCACTTTGTAGCTCAGGCTAGTTTTGAGCTCACAGTGATCCTTCTGCCTCAGCCTCCCAAGTGCTAAGATTACAGGGATGTGCCACCATGTCTGGCCTTGTTCTCATACTTTAAAAAGTTAGTTCAGGGTGTCTTATTTTCCAGGTGTTCAGTTCACTACTTAAGATATAGAATGAGTAATTTTTTATTTTTATTTTTATTTTTTTGAAGACAGCATCTCACTATGTAGTTCAGTATGTATCTCAGGCTGATCTTGAACTTCCGGCAATCCTCCTGCCTTAGACCTGGATTCTGGGATTAGAAGAGAACAGCATCATACCCACTGCAATTGAGAATTTCCAAGGAGCTCATACAGTTTAGTTAAGTTCCTTCATGCCCTTGTTTACACATGGATATGTACACAAATGTCCCCCC